CCCCCCCCCCCCCCCCCCCCGCGCCCATGGGGGGCGGGTAACCTGATAGTACTACCTTGTTGGTGTTGTTTTTCGTGTGTGTTGTCTCTCTTCGCTTTGTGGAAAATATTCTTACATGCATCGCTCCATCATATAATTTGAGAAAAATTGTTCCTCCGAATAATGAAAGAAGCAATTGCTGTGGGTGGAGTACACGAGGTTGGATTGATAGTTACCGGAAACGAACCACGTGGCCGACACAATCATATTATCGGGAATGCTTTGCTCTACTGTAGTCCAGGAATCACGACCAAGTGCTTGGGGCAGAAAAGTGTTTGGCCAGCGAAAGTAGCCGGTACTACATGTATGTATGCTAAATATATCTGGTGGAGTAGATACAGTGGGCGACATAAAGCTGGTCCAAACGTTGATGCCTACATATGTAACCACGACAGCCAATCTTAAACGCTGCTTGCCATGATCGCTAGCAAGCAAAGTGCTAATCCGTACGAGGCGAGCGCGACCCGATCGGCTGTGTCATGTTCATGAATCACCCCCGCAAGTTGATTAAAAGAAGAAACTACATGTAGCGCTGTGCGGGTTGGGGCTGGGGAGATAGAGCTGGTGAGATAGAACTGGTCCAAACGCCGTGCTATTCTGCAGAACATCCTGCTGTGTGCGCCAATTGTTTCGTTGTGCACCATCAGCAGAGACCGAGAGCTCGGTAATTGCTAATGTGCACCATGTGAGAGAAACTCTCAGGAACGCCGATCGGTATCGCCATATTAATCAGTCATCGCCCACGAGTCTGCAGAGGTCAATGCGCCATACCAATGGCATGGCTGTCAGAATCCACCAACGACACAACCGATTCACAAGAAGCAGCTTGCACAACAAACGAGGATGGCCATGTACGTGTAGGCAATCGCCTGTGTTTCAGGCGACCCATGTTTCCATCATAATCTTTATAACATGTTCGTAACGATGTAGTGCATACGATGCAACATATGGTGTGTACAAGAGTGGAGGTAGCAGACTGCCAGCGTATCTGCACTTAAGCACATACCTGTTGAAGGCACGACCCGCGACCCGTTGAAGCCACGACCCGCGACCCGTTGAAGCACGACCGCGAAGACGTTGGGCACGGCGCGAAAGCTGTACACACCAGACGATGAAGCCCAAGCGCCGATGAGAGCGGGCTGCGGCTACAATGACGTCCCTTTGCGAGAACCGAGCGTAGGGGGAAACAGGAGAAACAGGGCGGTGGGGTCGGACTCGCTCTCTCTTGCAATGGCGCATGAACAAGCGATCGCAACCTAAACCTACGCATACCGGCAACAACCATATTTCGATTTTCTACAAAGATCGAGAACCAACCGTGTTCTTTTCCCGACGAGGTACATTAGCTGCGGTGAGAACCAATTTAGAGAACCAGAGAACCAGAGCCAAAAGACAAGCGACAAGCGACAAGCGACAAGCAACAAGCGGGCAGCAGTGGGCAGCAGGGGCAGCGAGGCAGTGAGCATCAGAACTGGCCAGCCTGGCGTGTAGCGGCGAGGGGAGCGAGCGGAGTGGCAGTGCCGAGTAGTGACGCAGCGAGAAGCGTAGGAGCTTCGGGAGAAGAAGCACGACATCCACTGTGGAGAGCAGGCGAAACCTCTCCGAAGAGGTGGTGCAGGATGAGCGGCAACGAGGCCCCCCGCAGCAAGAGCATCGAGGAACAGACTCGGGCTGACTCACGGCGTAGGCGGCAGGAGCGAAAGAAGGCCCAGCTGGGGGCCCTTAAAACCGGTGTCTGGGACCGGTGCCTGTACCGTGTCCCTGGCAAGGGGCGATACTGTGCACAGCACAGGTGAGTGGGTGGGCTTGTGGGCCATGTCCCTGCAACACGCTTGCGGTACTGCAGCACCCCTACATGCTGCGAAGTGCTTGGTACGCACTCCAGAAATGGGCGCTACGTACCACACCGCACGACCACCCCAAGCAAGACGATGTTTATGCGTCACCCCTTTTCGCCCTGATTCCCGCAGCCACCTCCCACGCCAGAGTGCGTGATGTATTTCAATTTGTCTTGCCTAGACCATAGGGAACGCCTTGACTAGGGATCGGAGGCACATCGGCATGCCGCCAAGTTTATGCCGCAGCTGTCGAAACCGGGTTTCGTTTTGGAGCGTGGCGTGCGTCGAGTGGAGATAAAATAGGCGTTCAAAGCTGTGCCGGGCGACATGTCAGATTTGGATCGCTTTCACGCCAGGAGCCAGGCTGTACTGAGTAACCACACTTGTAAGCCCTGCTGCCTGTATCGACCATGGCCATGGTCACCGCAACGCACTTTACGTATCATGCCTGCAATCTTGTCGATTTTTCGGCCTTCGGTTGAGCTCATTCTTCCCCGGCCGTGGGTGAGCGGAGGTGGCCCCCCATTTCCAGCATAGTGTTTCGACGCGGAACCAACCGTACGCCTCGCTTGCCTACCAAACAAAGTGTGGTCTCAGCCGCTACACCAAGTCACAGTAGTGTCTGGTGCCGTCCACGGCGCACCGAAGATGTGGAAGACTTCCTAGACACAGCAGTGATGGGTCAGCACGGGCTGGGTGTCACTGAAAATGACCCGGGGCGGTTAGACTCGATAGGAACCACTAACCCAAGCGAAAACTAAGGAAGACAGACTTTTGGGTTCGGGGTCATTGTGTGCGTGTGCCAGCTTTTTCCTTGCGTGAAATCAAGGCCTTTTGAACTGCTCCAAGCGTGGCTGCTGCCATCTATCATGCAACGTGTGAGCACGCCGAATGACGGTACCTCGGAGAAGAGAGACGCACGATGTTGCCAGCACCATCAAGAACAAATCAACGTGTTTATTTCTGCACCCGAAGAAGCGGATCAGAACTCGCTGCCGGGGAAAGAATCGGCACAACTCGGCTTGGCCTCTTTCTCTGTGCACCAGTCTTCGATACATTGCTTCAAGTTTGGGAAATATTAGCCAGAAGACACCCAGAGCGACATGTGTGTGCGTACGTGCCGTTGCGTTGTGCTTGGGTTACTCCGGATGAACGTGTATCAAGGAGCAAGCACAGCGCATCGTTCTGCGGGACCCACATGGGCGAGACGGCGGAGAAGGGCAAGAGGGTGCCCTGTCCAGTGGACCCGAATCACACGGTGTTCGAGCAGCAGCTATCCTCTCACGTAAAGGTGAGAGCCCACCGCACTAGTAGCCAGTTAGGGTAAGAAACGTGTGAACTGTCTGTGTCCATGCTCTCTAGCGCTTCCTCCGTACTCGCTGCTGAGGATGTAGCCCCAAGGAAGCGGTACAAGGATTTTCCGGCCGGGATGATGCCGTCTTATCGGAATAAGGGGAGGAAGTGAGTCATCCCATGACCAATTCGTTTTCTACTCATGAAAAGGTATTTCCGGAGAGATGAAAAGATATTCCCGAGAGCAAACCCCTGTGCGAAATCAATTCGAGCGTGTTTGTCTCCAATATCACGGAGCGAAGCAGTGGGCTTTGTGACGGGACCGCTAGGCATAACATGAACGTAATATGCGCCGAGTTCCCGGACCCAAACCCATGGAAACCGTACAAATGCAGTGCATCGTTTTCTAACGACAGAAAGAGCCACCTGCCGACTCCAGAGGATTTCTTCGGTGTAAAAATGGCGGGATCCATAGTCTCCGCCAATGTTGGCCGCGGTCGGCTAACGTTGGCGGACACTATGGGTCCCACCATTTCAACACCGAAGAAGCACTCATTTTGCCGAGTCGGCAGGTGGCTCGTCGTGTTGCTTGCAAGTAAGGCACTGCTTTTGTACGGTTTGCACAGGTTTGCACATGGTGCATCAGAAACCGCAGCAATGTTGAATATTTCAGTGACCCTCCGCAGACAACGTTGCTGCGTTTGTAGTCCCAGCAGGACCCTGCCCCATGTGCAAGCCTACAGTTAGACCTTGAGACTCCTTTTTTTTTCGGCCAAAAAAGTGTCCGTGGTCGGTAGCCCAACAGACTAGGGCCAGTTCAAAGCGACCAATCAACGATCCCAAAAACAGGTGGCTACGTCACCAAAACGCTGAAAATACATGACTCGACTTGTACAAGTTGTCAACAACACCAAAGCGCACAACGTGTACTGCACACAACACCCAGAACCACCGGACTACCCAGGAAAGGATCATGTGCACGAAACTGGTGGATCAGGCGAACTAGTATAACCCATCAGCTGGAGCAGCAGCGCATGCATATGTATGCATTCACAGCAGCAGCAAAGTCGGGACATAAAATATGCGTATAATGAGAGCCGAGGAAATAGACCGAAAAAAGAATGGTGTCATCAGAGGCAGTTCCAGGCCCTGTTTCTATCGGTGCTGCCGCCGCCCACAAGCTGCCACGGGCGATCCTGAGCGCATGCGCCGCGAGCCCTGCTGGTTCTCGGAAGCTATCAACTTTGCTTGTCCTCGATGAACTGGTCCCGAAATGTGCGTGAGCGTGTGGTCGAAAAAGCTTGAAGTTGGAGCCTGCAGTCAGTTCTTCGGCCGAATCAGACCCCAATCTCTTGCTTCCACCGAAACACGCTCACGTACATATCGGGACCAGTTCATCGAGGACAAGCAAAGTTGATAGCTTCCGAGAACCAGTGTGTGCAAGGCTAGCGGCACATGTGCTCAGGATCGCTCGTTTCAGCTTGTGGATGGCGGGAGAAAGGGGAAACCAAGCTCGAACATGACGTATGATTTCGGCACCCTTTTTTCGTGGAATTTCAAGATGTGTCATATGGCCCCGTTTCAAAGCGACGAATGTCGGCAACGCTTGCCAGCGCTTGGCCGCGGCTGCCTTTGTCAGAGTGTCTGGGCGTAAGCTTCGCACTCTACCTGATGAAAGGCGAGGTAGTCGTCGTCCACGAGAGCATTCGTGCGCATGTCTAATCGTGCCTCCGGTGCGCTCTCAAAGGCACCGTGAACCGTCGAAATCTTGAAAAAAACATACTCCGGAGTACTCTTTTATTTTTTTCGGCCATGATTTAAGGCGATCATCTCTAGAACTTGTGCCCATGAGAGGCCAAACGGGGGGGCGCGCCCCTCAACAACAACACCTTGGATTGGGGCGCGTTTGTTTGCGTTGTGTGCGCAGAAACCAAAGGTAGAGATCACCAGGAACGGATTCTCGAGTTGAAGGGAGAACAATCGAGCAATTGGCCAAACCCCTCTACAAAACAGTGAAAATCGTATGTTCTCGGCCTTTGAGAGGACGGAGAAACAATGTAATCCTGGTGATCCCTTGAGTATGGTCTGTAGACAGGTGTTGTAGAGTACGCAGAGCCAACTCTCCACCTGGAGCCAGAACTTCGTCCCCCCGTTTCTGGTCTAAATCAAAGTTAATAAAAATTCGGCCACCGATTCATGAAAAATATATATTTTGGGGCTGGTCGTTATGCCGTTTTTGACTGGTCCTTCGCGGCCTTATCTCGAGGTCTAAAATTATGGGACTGTTTATTCGTCAGATGTGCACACCGCAATCGGTCTGCAAGCCCATCGCTCAACGCAAATCTGCTCAAATGCTATAACTTCTAGTATCTTTGGAACTTTGAGAGTACTCGAATCTGCACTCTCCCGTACACATGCAGCCTTCGTTGCGCCAACACCCCGTGTCTTGAGCGGCTCATCTCGTGTTTGGTGGCGGTGCAAAAGCTTTTCATACATTTTGTAAGAAGGGCGAGCACGTTCCCGTCCAGTTGAGATATGTGGCGCCGGCGAAAGCATACGAGACGAACACAAGCAGCGATCTCGGCGGCTCTCACCCCAAGCTCCCGCGGCGGCCCCATACCGAACCATGTGGCATGTGGGGTCGACTACCAAGATCTGCAACCTGGCGCTTCAGCAGGCCCGCATGGTGGCTCAGCCGTACTATTCAGAGGGCATTAACTCTGGGCCCCCGCTTCTCCCCGGAGAGGAAGAGGAGGAGAAGAACAAGGAGAAGGAGGAGGAGGACAGGGGCGATGTTGCTGTCGTCGCTGCTGTTGCCGCCGCAGCCGCCCTGGACGTGAGTTGTTATGTAGCGTCGTGAAGTAAATTAATAACAACACGGGGTAATTGTCCTGTAGATTATTGCTCCAATCTGTGCTGTTCCATGTGTTGCTTGGTGTCTAGCACGCGAGACCCTGCTGATTGCTTTCCAGAAGTAACCAACAAGAGCAGCAACAACAGATATATCATTTGTAATCGAAACGAAGAAAGAAGTGTAGGATGTTGAGGGAATGTTGGTCGGCCGCAGGCGATGGTCGCGAGAGCAGCAACTTACTAGGTTGCACATGGTGACGGGTAACGTGGGACAAAAATAGCCTGTACCTGTACCGAAGGTATTGAGGGGCCCTGCCCCGGTACGAGAGCTTGTTCTCAACGCGGTCACAGTCACCTCGGCTCTGCCGGCATCGCTTTGCCTCCTTGTATATGTGATGTTTTTGTCGCCCCTTCCCTTTGGAATTGTACCGCGTCGCATTGCCGTGTCTGTTGTGTTTGCGATGTTCTATGTTGCAGTTGTTTTCGCTGTATTTGGCATTCATGCAACGATACAAGTGTTGAAAAATTGCACCTGCTTCCAGCGAGTGAGGGAAAATTTCATTTTATTGGCAATGGATTTTCATTGCAATATCGTTTTGTGCAGAATTGCAATAAGCAAGATAGACCCTGCGACACAACCGAATAGCAACAGCAACTAGCCAGACCCAGAATGAAGCACGCAACCAAGAAGCACTGCGTCGGGTGTTTCTCTCGGCTCTCCTCCCACTCCTTTGTTTTCCCTGACGTTGTCCCCTAGGATGCGTTTGTGGTAGACCTGCTATCCCGGGTCGAAGCGGCGCACCGAGACCTCGTCGGGGAAATTCCCACGGAGGTGCTGGATCCTCCGGAGGTGCAAGCGCTACACAGGTGGGCCGTGGTTGCCGTTGTTGTTGTTGCTGCTGCTGCTGCTGCTGCTTCTGGTGGCGATTTCTGCTGTTATTGTCGTTGTTGTCTGGTGTTGTTGGTGTTGTGGTCACCGTGGTTGGCTTCACGCGAAGAGTTGAGCATCTGGCCTTTATCCAGTGTGTACCTCCTGTTCCGCAACTCTCCGAGGCAAACCAATACAGGCTTCACAGAATGCGGTACAAGAGCCGACAGCAGTAGGTGGGGAGAGAGTCGCACCGCTCGGCATGTTGATGGATGGGGAGGCAATGGAACGGGCTCACCCGTATTTGGGAGCCGGCGGTGTAGCGAGATTGTGAGGTTTTTGCGACCGGTGTCTGAACGCAACCTGCCCACGCGCACGTGCCGACCACACGCCCCGCAAGACGTTTTTTGTCACGTCTACTTTTACTTTTCCGCTCTAAACCCTTTGTATGAGACCCCCCCCCCCCCCCCCTCGCGAAAGACTGGCTTGAGGTTGGTCGCTGCCGTTGCCTGAGGTTATGAACAGTTGTTCAGCCATTAGCTATTCCAAATCACGGCGTTGCTTTGCCTTTCGATTGGTACTCATCTGCACGGTCTGTCCTAGAATAGGCGGAGGCGCTGCGCCTTCTTCATCCGCTGCTTATCGTAAGGCCACCGCTTTGCTTTCACGCCCGTTCCCACCCTGAAGCGATCTCACTGTGCACCTCTTCTCGCCGTCCCCTCTCCTGAGCATGTAACTTACCCCACCTACAGCCAGCCCGAACCTGGGTGCACCCACGCACATCGCCCATTTCGAGTGTTGTAGCAGTTTCAACGAGGCCCGTCCCCTGTTGGCCTTGATTCTTTTTTCCGCAGGGCTCGAACCGAAGACGGCATGGGTTTCCGCAAAGGGAGGCATGTGCTGCAGCAGGCGTCGCTGGTTGGTCACCTCGTCAATAGGCGAGCCGACAGAGTTCACGGACCCCACGGGTTTATTCTCGCTACATACCGAGGGGGGCGGGGTTCTTGTGGTTTGTGGAGCTTTGACGGTGGTCTGGCCTCTGTTTTTTTGTTGTTCCTCGTTGGCGCCTTTCGCTTGATCTGTAACGTGCGAAACTTGATTTTCAGCGGAGGATGGGTTTTAGTGAAGGGGGCGTGTGCGTTTGTCAGTGGTCTTCGGGATGATTCATTGTGGTCGTGAAAGCTTTAACCTCCCCTTCTACACGCGACGCGTCGAGTTGTGAAGAGGTGGAAACCAACCCGATGTACTTCTATCTTCACCTTCTGCTGCACGGAGAGGATCGGAGTTGGAGGGCAGCAGCTGTCGTCATCATCGCGAAGAGACGCGGAAACTGTCCACACAGGAATTACACAATTGATAATCTCTTCCAATTTCCCGTTTAACCCAGGAGTATTGATCACCTCCACCAGCGGAGTTCTGTCTCTACCTTTTGCTGTAGTCCCGACAACTCAATATCGCTCCATAATGTATTTGTTCTTCTTTCCTTCAAAACCGCAACGTAACGAATGCATCTATATATCCATATCCACAGGAAAGAGCCCGGGAAAAGTGACTCCAAGGCGGTAACACCAAAAGTGATCATAGTAAGTTTTTGTAAACCGCTTTTCTGACAACATGCAGGGGGCTCGTTGGTCCCGCCGGTGGTGACAACGGTCACGGCGAGAACGGCCCGAGCGTGCTGCACGTGGAGATGGGCGCGGGCAAGGGCACCCTGGGGCAGTCCATCGCCACTGCCTTTCCAGGGTCCGACGTTACCATGGTTGAGCGCTCCTCCGTTCGACGAAAGGTGCGACAAAAGAGATATTGTCCTAGAGGCCGGGGGTAGAGGGAAGGGGACTTCGCCCCCCGGATGTCACGACGGCGCGCGATGCACCAAAGGGCCAAGGGTTACACTATATGTTGCTGTTATGTGTGACATTTTCATCTATCTCCGTGTGGGCATAGCGCCATTTTCGCTACGTGGCGCTTCGTGATTTACTTCGGTGAAACGGTCGTATGTGAGCTACGTGTGACGGTAATATAAGCCTTTGACGTCGTGCGCATGAGTTGGGACACTCGAAAGCACCGACGGCGGCAAGTACACCTCTAAGAAGTTCGTTTTTTAGATGTTTTTCAGTTTTTTTCGACAGGTTCGTGCAGCATTGCCGACCCCCGAGATTTTTTACTACAGGTGACGGGGCCGCTGATGTCATAAACCTTTTGTTCTGTTGGGATCTAGCCGGATACTATTATACTTCTCATTTTGTGGCGGGGGCCGGGGAGAGGGGGCCGATGAATTCGAACCATTCACAAGGTCGCTGCATATTTCTCTCTTTCGCTGTTTCCCAGCTACAGACCAACCCGGGTGATGGATTTATTCAGACAACAAGCAGACAGTGCAGCGGCACGATGTGGCTTGTGTAGTGTTTTGCCTCCCTTCCTCCCCGCCCACTTTCACATTTCTGGTGCGATACGATTCAAAACATATTGCTGTTCAGGCAGAGAATCGTCTGGAGGGCGTGAGCACGAGGGCGAGGATCGACATCCGCGACCTCAACATGGGTGGCCTGCCTTCCCTCACGGCCGAGGGGGACGACAGACCGGTCGTAGCGGTCGCCAAGCATCTGTGTGGGGTGGCGACCGACTTAGCTCTCAGGCGAGATGGATGGACGACCGGCGGAGAGACTAGCAGAGAGAACTATCGAAAGGGAGTAGGCGGACTATTGGAGAGACGGACAGACAGGCAGAGAGAGGGAGATAGAGATTGAGATAGAGACAGAGACAGAGGCAGAGACACAGAGAAAGAGACAGGCAGAGACATAACTAGAGACAGAGACAGACACAGATACACACAGAAAGAGAGGCAGACAGACAGACAGACAGACAAACAGACAGAGAAACACATAGATGGAGGGGGGGGGTGACACTTGCGTGGTAGAGAAAAGAGCGCTGCTTTCCTTCACAGGACCCTACCCTTCGTTCGACACCCTAGGCGCACAATGGTTTCGGCCAACGCTTCGCAACGGAAAACAAGGGCGCGAGTCGACCATGACGTAACTTTCCAGCAGAACCCCTCTGAACACGGTTCATCTCAATGACCCAAGCAGCTGCCATTTCACCTCCTCGTACCCCGGCACTGCCTCCCTTGACTGGCTGTCCTCGCGCTGAATCTCCGGGTTCACTCCCCAACTTCTATCGCAGAGCAATGCTAACCCTTCCCCCCCGACCGGAGAGCCGTGACGCCGACGACGGTGGCCACGTTGGCAACGGTGACCCGACGGCCGCCCCTGCGGCGGCGACGACAAGGGTGGGAGGGGTTGCGATCGCCACGTGCTGTCACCACGTGTGTAACTGGAGGGACTACGTGGGCAGGGACTTCTTGACGCAGCAGGTTCGGCCGCAGCTGTGTATGGGTGCCTGGGGCGGTGTGTGTCCATTAGCAGGCTTATCCCGCTACTAACCGTAACGCCGCCGTACGCGGGATGTAAAACAAACTGCTCACGTTGTGGACTTGATCGTATGGAGTTTTTTTGTGCGTTTGTGGTAGGTGGTGGCGGGTGTTGTGGCGAGTTCACGACTGCTCGGGAAAATGGCAACCGTTCCTCGTTCTCCTGTACGATCGGGGGAAAGACGCAGTGGCTCTTGGTCTCCATCCCTATGTTCTTAACATTCACTTCTCTCTTGGTGTTGCTCCCGTTCTTGCTGCATGCACGGTGTTGTTGTGTTGGTTCGTGCACGTTCCCATTTCCGGGCCGTGTTAGTTTTGTGCCTCGATCAATCCGCTGAGTGTTTGTCGCTGGGTCGGAAAGCAAAGCGCCCAGCTGAACACGACACGCCACGCCACCAAACGAGCGTGTGCTTGAGGGTAGATCCAAGCTGGTCTGCCTTCTTGCTAGACACGTGTGTGTCCGCTCGCGAGCTTACCGCCCCCTCCATTATGGTCATGTTGTCGACTATCTTGTCTTGTGTTTCTGTCGATTTGTTTTGTTGCCTCAAGGGTTTCTCTGCACGCGACTTCGAAGCCATGCGGCGAATCTCCGCCTGGATCAGCCTGGAACCAGACGCCGGTGCCCGGAAGAACAACAGATACCCCGACGACAGACACCCCGGGGTAACTTCTTCGCCGTCTTTTTGTCGGAAAACTCCCGGAGAAACTGCGTCGGTGGCGGCACGATCACGACGCCCGGCAGCTGAAACGAGAAAGCTAGAACCAGTCCTTGAACCAGGCGGTGGTGATTGTCCGCGGCCCGGAGAACGCGAGGCTTACGGCTGGAGTGGAGGTGGGCCTGGAGAAGCACGAGAAGGGACATGGACAGAACAATTATGTGGGGAAAGAGAAGACAGTCTCGAGCGTGCCAGAGAAACAAACAGAGGCCACTCGTCATCTCCGCCATGGCACACAACGCCGGCGCCAACGTTCATGACCGCGTCAACACCGTCGTCGTTGCACTCGCCCACCAGCGATAACGCCAACGCTAACACTAGCATCGGCGACGGCAGCGACGTGTTGGATGCTAACACTAGCATCGGCAACGGCAGCGAGGTGTTGGCCCCCCTCACGCCGTCGGAGAAGGCGGTGGCAGCACGCGGGTGCAAGCGGCTGCTGGACAGGGGCAGGAGGGCCTTCATCGAGGAGCGCCTTGGGCTGCGTTCGGAGATTGTGCACTTCGTCGGCAGTGACGTCACCCCGGAGAACGCCCTCCTCTTGGGGTTTCGAGCCGAGGAGGGGCCTTAGGTAGGGGACGGGGGTTAGGAATCCCCGGAAATATCTGGTTTTGTTCTTCGAGCCGAGGGCGAGCCTTGAGTACAGGGAGAGGTTCCCGGGGTCGCCCGCCCCGGAGAATATGCCCTCTTGTCTTGGTGCTTCGAGTGGAGGAGCCTCGAGTAGAGCGAGGCGTCGGGAGGAAGATGACAACGGAAGACGCCCTGACATTTTGGTATTTCAAGGAGCATGTGCGGGGCAGAAGAGATTGATCTCCCTGAACGGAGCTGACCTCTGTCGGCATCGTCAAGGAGAGGATGGTCTACTTCAGAAGAGAGGCGTCCTTCGTCTCCTTTGGTAGATAGTTCTGGCCACAGCGTGAGCCGGCCCTATGCCCCCCCCCGCGCTCCTGGTTGGGCCTGTTGTCCTTACAGTCTTCTGAGTCGGTGGTCGAGACAATCCCACCGGTAACGGATTCCTGTACTTGGAAGGGAAGCCGTAGTAGCCTACAGATTTGAGAGGTCTCTCGGCTGTTTCCCGTGCAAAGGCACACGTCCCTTTCTGTGTTTTCGGCTCGGTAAAAAACCGGTTTCGGAAAAAAAGAAAAAAAAAATTGATTTTTCTGGTGGGAGAGTCTGCTCAGGAGGAGGAGCGCATATCGGTATTCCTGGTTGGGGTTCTGCAGAGGTTTGAACTTCTGTCGCGAATTGTGGTTCAATATCTCCCGTTTGGCAAAATATACTGTTCGTGAGTGCAGGCTCTTCGAACGGCAACACCAGGGCACCCATTCTTTGCGCCATCGTATGCGAAAGAACTTGGCAATTGGGGGAATTGTGTGTTGGGTATATTCAACAGAATCTGTTCTCCCGTCAAGGGCGACAGGCGGTCCTGCGAGGGTGATCTATGTGCTCACTCTACGGTCTCCGCAACCACTGGCAAGGTTTTTATTTTACTACGTTGCTAAAAGTGTGCACACATTTTCCGGTAGATTGTCAAATCACGCCGTACGAGACGAACCATAGCATTGCACATCTCATTGTTTTTGCTTCGTTGAGCGCGGTTACAAGTAAGCTACAGAGAGAGCTTGTTCGTTTATTTTTTTCTTCTTATGGCGGCGCCCTCTGTTCGATTTACTTGGATATTTTTTGAACGATGTCCTTGCCGCCGAGCTATTGCTTCTTGCCGCGCGTCTGGCAATGCTAGTATCCCTTTCCAACGCGGTGGGATAGTCATCATTCCATCCGCCCCCCTAAAAGACAGCGACGAGGAAATTGCGACACAAAGCGGGAACAGAAAAGAAGTACGAAGTACTTCGAAGTATCTCCGATTAGGAGTCGCACCTCGTCCACCGAAGATTTGCCGGGCGGTGAGCACTTCTTCTGTGCTGACGCGGGAATAGGGTTCCGCCCCTCCATCCTCCAGGTGTCCTCACCACCAACAGTGCTCGTCGTTGTGCTTCAGCTGGGCCCTTCCTCGCACACACGGGCCTATCAGATCATCGCTGTGTGTCATTTCCATACCATGGGGATAGGATAGTTCCACTTTTTTTTTTTTTCTGACATGCGCTTCGGAACATTTTCTGAGAGCGCCAGCTGAGGAGCTGAAGTAAAACGGCAGCAGTAGTAGCAGCCTCACAGAACTTACTCTCCGTCTTTCTTTTACGGCACTCGTCATTTTTCTGTCGCGAGGCGTACTTCGTGCCTTTCCCTCGTCGACAGCAGCAGCGGAGCCAGCAGTGAAGTCGAGTCTAAAGCGCGACGCGGGAGACTGTCGAGAAAACCAGACCAGACCAACACGCCTCCTTGTACTTGTATGTGTCCTGCTGCTGTATTGTAGTTGCATAGTTGCATCGTCCATCGTCCACCGACGTACAATGCTACTGGAATGCTGGAAGTAGCTTCTTGCAGTTGCTCGATATCTATATGGCGAAGAGCGGGCCGGCACACACCGTGCACGTGTTTTTGTACTACATGCAATCATCGTCACCGCCGTGGGACTCGAAATCAACATGCCTCTGATTGGCTAACATCGTGCGGAAATTGGGCTTTTCGTCGGTGACTGTTGACTGATTGGCTAAAATCTGCACCGCATTTATTTGGTTTCACACGTACCGGAACAAAGAACGACAGGCTTTTTGATCTGGATAATGTTGTGCTGTACCATTGCAAGGAAGAGCATTGGCAAATGTGTGCATGTCGCCCTGCGTGAAGCTGCGCTGGTGATCAATGTGTGTGTACGGATGCAGACACCCGTTGTGGGGGGGGGGAGGCACTTGCCTATACGATGAAGTGGGGTCTTCGTCGTTTTGTTCCTGCGACGCCGGCTTTGTCTCGCGAGACGCCGCGGGAAATGCCAGCTGTGTCCCAAGCAATGTGCTTGTCATGGGCTATCTGTTTCTGGCAATTGTGTCAATGCTTACTGCGGCGCTTCTGGCTTGGCATATCAACGGATACCGTCGCTTGCCTACACGGTCTCAGAGCTCACGCAAGACTGTGATTCGGATGCGCTCGATGGTGACTGGGTGGTGAGTTGATTCGGGTAGAGATGTAGCAAAGGTGTTACAACTGTAGGTCTGGCAATTTCGGCCGTCCACGTAATGGTGGAGCAGTACAGCAATTTCCACCAACAGCGCTAGCTGGCTTTAGCAAACGAAAATACATCGGTCAGTGCCAGAGGGTAAAACCAAGGTCCCGTAATGTATGTGTAGGTTAACTTACATATGTTAGTGCAGTATTGACGCCCAACCGACGGACCAATGAATGAAGCACGTCAGTTCGAGGCAATTAACTCATGAGTACAACGTGAAGTCTTGAGTACGAAAAATATGCGCGAGGCCACGTACCGCAGTCGTCCAGTGAAAACAACAGGACAGTCCAATAGATGCAATACGACGGACCTATGAAGCATGCACTGTGTCGCAGGCTGCCATGTGAGCAGGAGCCTTTCCAGCTTCCGGCACGACCTCGGCTGATTGGACCAAAACAACAGTACATAAATAGTGTATTGTGGACAGCAAAGGATGTGGCTGCCGATGGCCAGAGAAAATCAAAACATAAGAGGACACAAGTATAGTCTATGTATAAGACGGAAACGATTGTTGTCATGAGGTGTCTTTGCGATGAATCGGAGTGTTGCAGGTCGGGGACACAGAGGTGACGAGCCACCCGCCTCCCCGATGATTTATAGCAAACCACTACATGTAATTTGAAACAAATCCAAATCTATGGGCGACTTACCTTGAAAACAGTGTACACTGCAATGCATTATGGGGAGTCTCAGAACACCGGTTAACACGTAGTCTAACTGATCCAAGTGGAACTTCTGTAGATCCACTGTAGGATGGAGGGTTCAAATCTGGGAGCGTTCATGAAAGCGAGGGAACATCGAGTTCCTAAATCAGGAATTTAAGACTGTGGATCCGGATATATCTCTATAGTCTTTCTGTGTTTTAATGTATAGTGTCTAAAATAGCAAGAGAAGCGAGGGTCCTTGGTCGCCCTCCTCAATTGAACTGGTGCCGCCCCTCAACCACCTGCGTGGTCTATGCCGATCTCCTCATCAGCAACCTGCTTTGAAGTGCTGGTGCAGAATGCAGAGCACACCGCCGTGGCTGGAGATGTGTGTGTGATGTTTCGGTGCAGCAACCAGCTGTCCTTTTTCTTTTTTTCTGCCGCCTTGGCCCCTCCGGCGTGTTTTTTTTTCCGCGTTCTTCCTAAATCTAGAAGTCGTCGTCTGCGTTCCGAGTTTCTCCATTGCGTGGCGTATTCGATTTTCGACGTCTCCATGAACGTCGAAGACTGGATATCTCGTCACATATTTCAGTGGACAAATCTAGCCCTGACCATAACCCTCCTGCATCATCAATCGCCAACGGATCCGATCCGATGTTCGTTTAGGTTTTTCTTCGAGAAGAGAAATTCATGTATTTCGGGCGGTCTTTACAAGTGCACTGAAACCACAGTACATCACTCTTCAAAAAGTTCCATTTGTCAATCGCCCCATCATCTCCGCCTGCCGCCATTCCCCGCGCTTGCTTCGTCCAACAGCCTATACGCCTTCGGGTTTGGGTGGATGGCTATCGGATTAGTTATTCGGGCGGGCGACATAGGCTACCACGATGACGGCCCACTTCGAGTGGCATACATACTCTTGCGGCCATGTGCTATGTTCGAGGTTGCAATGATAGCCGAATATTGGGTGGAGAGCTTGCCTTCGCAGATACTCACTCCCGACAGTTTCGCGGGAAAGCTGAGAAACGCATCGGAAACGAGCAGCCTCTTCGTGGTGATCGGAGTTGCCAACGGAGGACTTGTGTCGTTGCTTGGCGTGATGACGTTCTTCGCTCGGAGTTGGCCCCAGCAGGCGGCCGACCTTTTTATTGTCGGCGGCGTCCTAACCGCGGTGAGGTATCGTGGAATATCTTGGCGTATCACTGCTGAAGTACTATGGCTCCTTGACTTTGTGCATAGTTCCGCGTTGTGCAGCAACCCGGTATTATCAATATTGACGTCTCTGGCACACTACTCACTAGAGGAAGAATCTCTGCGACCGTGGAGACCTGTGCCCGTGACCATCACCACGCCAAGCTGGAAACCACCAACACCAGCGCGGCAACAGTCGTACTAGCAGGGTGATGCCCACAACCAAACAAACAACCGATGACGGTTCAGATTGATCGCATTTCCATCTGAGACCTGACGGTTGCTATCACTAATACATTTTCTGAACCTCGTCTGGCGTCTCGCCGTCCCGACCAGGAATTAGTCGTCTTCTTCGTGGCTTCAAGAATAACGGCGGTCATCAACCAAGCCACCTCAACAGCGATGGGAAGACCTGTAAGTATCTCGTATCCAAGCTTGCGTTCAACGATCTCGCCACGCATGTGCATACATGTACATAGCACAATCTCTTTGAAGGATTGACACTACATGCGAAAAGTTGGCGTCCATCTGTCTGTCCTGTTCATGCATGAGCGCGTCCACAAATATTTTCGTGTCTCCTCCGAGCCAGGGTTCACCTTCCTCGAGGGCTTTCTATTTCAAGGCCAAGAGGAATATGTGGATACAAGCTGCGGCGTTGTGCGGTGTGGGCTGCTTCCCTATGCTCGTTATTGCCATAAAGCGCCTCACCATGGCTGGACGAAGTACCCCTATCATCATAGAGACACTGCAGGTGAAAGGAAGCGTCAGTTTTATCGTATGTGCGTGCGCCTGAAGGTTTCGATAGCTCATGTATGCATGTGGTCAAACGCAGCACCTCATTGTGTACTGCAGGGCGTACGATCATCCACCTTGCCCATCGCCGCAGCCCTTCTCCCGCTTCCGGATTATTGTCGAGTGTGTCGTAACGGTAAAATGTTTACACGACGTATGCTCTTTGATCTTGTCCGCTCAGATTTTGACCGGCCACGGCGGTGCGATCATGTTCTCTTCGGCTACTAGCTTTGACCGGGCTTCTGGAATGAGGAGGAATTCAGCTGTCGATACCTCCCGCGTACCATGGCGTCGCCGTATCTCCGTGGCCCGAATGGGCGTAGTTTCAGCCGTTGCTTCGGAGGCAGCGCCATCAGCCATGATCGCAAGGATCAAAAGCATGGATCCGAAGAAGAAGGGGAAAGCGAAAACGACGGAACTGGTGCAGGCTGAGGAGCAGGGCGAGATATCGAAGGGTAGCCGCATGAGTTGCAGTATTGGGGAGGATGCGATCGAAGTCGTCCCGTTTGTTCAACGCAGTTCCGGGTCTTTCGGTGCCGTTTGTATCCACCACCCCCCGCACCCTAAGGCAGCAAGAGTGATACCGATTAGTGTGCCGTTGACGGCTATTTCCGTAAGTAGCGACGAGACGAGTACGAGTAGCATGACTGCCGGGCGCAATTAGACCGCCGAGTTTATCGTGTAGAGACGATATCAAGCAGAAAGGTGAAGGAAGAGATATCTACGTCGTGGCCCTGGGAATCTGGTCCGTAGCCGTAGTGCGCAAGCGGTTGCGACGTCGGTGACGGCGACCCAGAAAGATGGGAACTTGGGATCGCCGACGGAACATCTTCTTTAGCGCTGCCTTTTTCTCCCATTGAGGGGGCTACAGTAGAAGGACCGGGGAACGCCTATGAGTACAAGCGCATTTATCCCAATATCAAGCGCCGCGTCTTGCATTCCAGGACGTGGAAATTGCTGGTTCCCGCCACCCCGGTTGGCTCGCGGTACCATTGGTTGTAAGGTAGGGGCCAGACCAGGATGCACGTGGCCCGAAGACCAGGGCACCCGTTCTTTGCGCCAGCGTTCGCGAAAAGACATGGCATTTGGGGAATGAGTATTGCGTGTTCAATAGAAAAGGTTCTCCAGTCCAGGGTGAGAGGCGGTCCTGGGGGCGTGACGTACTCACTCTACGATGTCTCCGCAACCACTGGTAAGGTATGTTCTGCCGGATGGGGAGGAACCGTTGCCAATTGTGTTCAGGTCTTTTCTACTGGATGAGGAGGACCGTTGCTAATTGTGTTCACAGACGTTACGGAAGATTATCAAATCACACCAAACGAGACGAACGCAGCATTGCACATCTCCATTGGCTGCTTCGTTGAGCGCGGAGTACTCACAGTACAAAGTAGTATGTAGTCCACAGAGCTTGTTCGTTTTTTTTATTTGCTTGTGGTGGCGCCCTCGGTTCGATTTAATGGGTCTCCCCTACTTTCTACAGTTGCTAAAACGCCCATGGGCGCTTTGTTGCCAGTGTAATCCTAGACAACAGATCATCTGCTTTGGAACGGGCGCTATACTAATGATCTTAACGCTAACCCTAACCCTAACCCCAGGTCCGACACTTTTGTTGAGGGTTGGAATATCCCTCCATAGTGCCGGTGACGAGGTGTTTGATTTCATGGTGTAGTGCTCACGCTTTGCGGGGGCAACAGAATACGAAATGGATCGGAATAATGGTGAATTAATAGTGGACGAAGCTAAAATCAGTCCTCGTTGCCCTCCTTCGATATTGCAAGATAAACAACAGACAAACCGAAAAAGAAACACAACCGGAAGCGAGCTGCCAAAACACAAACAACCATCCATGTACCGCCCACCCCAATATATACGTCGCGACAAAGCTCTCCTTATGTCTGTCTGGCGCACCCGCTTCGGTTTTGCAAGAAAACAAAAAAAAAAACAAGAAAAGTACGAAAGGGATCGCACCGCACGAAAAACAAACAATCATGTATCGCCTACCCTCACTCCGTCGCGACAAACTCTCTCACTGTCTGCCTAGCACACCTGCTTCGATGTTGCAAGAGAAAAAAACACAAGAGAAGCACATAGGAAAAGCGCACCGTACGAAAAACAACCACATGCACCCCCCGCCCTCGCTACGTTTCGACAAACTCTCTCATGTCTGCCTGGCGCACCCGCCTACTTACTTAGCGGAATGCGCTGCGATCATCGCCATCTTCGCACAGTTCACCTTCCGCACAAGGCCTGGTGCGCCTCTGCCCAGAGCTGTTCGGGTCTGCAGCAGCACGCGAACCCTGTTTTCTGTGTGCCGTCTGTCCTCCGGCTGTGTTGTGTGTGTGTCTTGTTATTTGCGTCGACCGCGCTAACCGGCTGACCAATGACAATACGTCAGTCTCAGTGCGGTTGAAAACACAAAACACTTCCTAGAAGACATTAACTGGGAACCCGTGAGGGGACGGCATGGGGGAGACTTGTCTATTCTCCAGATTAAACACAGAAACGGTACAATAGCAACAGAAGAAACTGCACACGTCTACGAAGGCTGCCACCTTGCACTCCGAGTTCGTTTGGAGTGCTTGCAGTATCATCCTCCTTGCTTTCAACTCCATCGTTCTTGTGTGTGTGTGTAAACCGGAGCTGTGGTGCCCAATCGGCACTATATCGGGGCTGCCCTCAATAGTGCCGGACCGGTACTATCGAGGGCGCTGTCTGTGTCCAGAGATATTACCGGACAATACCGGGCACCGGCACTATTCAATTGGCACGATAGATGGCCCCGTACTGTATAGGCCTACGGTCCCCCTTGAGGGCGCTCTCATCATGCTCTCCTGGTACGCAACACAGCGCACAGGCTCGCCAGGGCGCACCACGTTCGCAGCGCACAGGCTAGGGTGACCCTATTTGCAGGATGGTCCTGCAACCGAAATGCTGCAGGATGGAAAACGCCTCCAGAACCAACCAACCACAAACCCAGAACCAAGCAGCGAACCAAGACACACAGAAACACAATGAAACACAGACACCTGCTCCACAGACCACCACCACAGACCACATACATCATGGATATTATCGGGAGGAAGCTGCCCTTGGGTGGAGATGACGACCTGCTTTCGGACAGCAGCAGCGTCGTCGAAGTAGAGGGCGGCGCGGACGATTCCACGAGGCTTCATGCCAACTTGTTCATTGCATTGGTGAACACCCATCCTTCTCATTTCCTATACCAAAGCCCCCCCCCCCGTACTTTACACAGCAGTGGCCTCAAAAAAATTGTTGTCACATAAAAAAACCGTTTCGATCTCTCTACCTAGCCTTCATGACTGTCCGTACTGATCCAATACTTGACGCGGTCGATTCCCGTGGTCGCAGGCTAACTTACGCTAGAAAGGTACACTCATATAAAATGGACTCGAGGGGTCCGCAAAGCCAATTTTTATCAACCACAGGTACTGCTGTAGTCTGGAGCCCTCTGCTGCTCCCTCTCTCTGTGCGCGTGTGTGTGATTTCGTCCTACTTTTTGTTATGGCGACAGTCCCTCCATTTCTCGTGGTGAGACGTGCACTAGTCTACACTTTTCAGTGTGTGTAGAGCAGTACACTTTTTCAGCGTATTTTTGCGTACAATTACAACACTACAGCCATCCAGGG